TGTTGATGTTCTTGTTAACACCTTCCATATTTGCACACATTTTCCCATTAAGATGTTGTTGCACCGAACGAAAAAGATGGTAATCTGATGGTGCCATAAATAGAGAATATGGTGGGTGGGTGAGAACTTCCCAACTCAGCTCATCTTGTGTTGCATCAAACATGCCACATGTGGACATGCATTGTCATGGAGAAGAAGAACAACTTTCCAATTGACAAGTGAAGGGCATTTCTGATGAAGGGCTCGATTTAAACGTTCCAGTTGCTGAATATAGATCTCTGCATTGACAGTTCACTGTGGATTGAGGAGTTCAAAATGAATTACTCCTTTGATGTTCCACCAAATGCAAAGCATCACTTTTTGCGGATGGAGTCCAGGTTTTGGGGTCGAAAATGGTTTTTGTCTAGGACTGAGCCATTGTTTTTGGAATTTAATATTCGCATAAAGAATCCATTTTTCATCACCAGTGACAATTATGTCCAAAAATGGTTCACAAACATTACAAGCCAGAAGAGACAAAGCAATGTTCACTCTTTGGAAACGATGATCATCAGAGAGTTTTGTAAGGCACCCAAGCACCTTCTTTAAGGAGTTTTCCCATATTCTTAGATATTTACGTATTATTTCATGAGAGACATGCAATTTCAGGGCCATTTCATGAGTGTGTTGCCTTGAGTTAAACTCAACAAGCTTCTTCAGAGCATCAATATCAATTCCAACATGTCGGCCCCTACCATCAGAGCTTTTTAAGACTAAAATCACATGAACGAAATTTGCTGAACTGTCGTTGACATTTACGAACATTCAAAACATTTCCATAAACTTCTTTGATATTCTTTGTGGCTACAGAGGCATTGTTTCCCTTCTTGTATTCAAACAGCATTACATGCCGAATGTGTGTCTTGTTGTGTGCCATCACTATAAGGGATTAGAGTATACTAAACTTTACACATTACATAGGCTACACTAACGTGACATTTAGGGCAGTTCATTTAACTATTATACGTGATGTATGTTTTTTTGGGGGGTTATGAAAGTCTTCCAAAATGCAACATTAATTTCTTGAGAACCTAATACATCCAGGTGTTGGTCTTGCCATGCAGATGTTTGCTTTCTGCCATTCATCTGGGGACAAACCATAATAAATTTTATGCAGTACTTGCTTCCACATGGATGCTCCAATGCTCTAACTTACAACTGTTTTCACATTGTCTCTCTTATCATTCCATAAAAAAATTGTTATAGGGTGTATTTGTTTCACAGTCTTGAAACATTTCCCAAAATTTTGTTTTGTGATGCAATTGGCCATTTTAGGATCTTAACAATACCCACTCCTTCATAAAGACTATTTTAAAATACCAAATTAACCTAATAAAAACAACTCACAATGGATATCCTTTAACCATTTCCATGACCACACAGTGTCGGTTGAAGTCAACTGGTTTTGGTACAGGGAAGTCTCTCTCATACAATGCCTGAAAAACAAATTATTTTACATGGATCAAATACTGCTGGAAGCAAGATTCTTCTTTATTTAAATGAATATTAATTTTGGGATTAGTATAACTTTGTATGATAATTTCACTGCAATGTCACATTTTTAGTACACATATACATGTACTTTATTTACTATGAGATCATTTATTTAAATTACAGTTTCCAACAATAAGCTTTAATAAACATAAAATGAATAATCAGTTACCTTCATAAATGCAAACTCTTTTACTGCTGCTAATCTTGATAGGTAAATCCATGATGCTTTATGTCTGTGTCTGTGATAGTCTCGTTTTTCTTTCAATCTGCGGAATGATGTTCTACCTAACCTGTGTTGAATAAAAGAAGGTACTTTTCAAACTTATTTACAGCTTCTTGAGTTTTGTTTTTTTATACATATTTGACATCATTAGATTTAAAATACAGGGTGATGCAAAAGTCACACACCACCAAGATATTTGTTTAAGTCCCATCCTTAAAATTATTTCTCCTCAAAATCATTTTTAGGTATCAGTAACTGTCTTTCTTTTTTGTTAAAAAATTGGTTGGGATGTCATTAGATTAATTTGTAAGAATGTGTGGAAATGATCCCACTAATATTTTCATGAATTATAAAATATCCAATCAAGCATTAATACCCCTATGCATTTAACATTTTTCTCAGTAAACCATTAGATTTTTTTTTACACATGTAGGTTCAACATGCTATTTATGGTTAACTTACAATGATTAGTATAATTAGGTGATACTGAGACATTTCAATCTTGAGAAATCCAAATAAAACTAAGTTACTTTAACAATAAAAATTTCATAAGTCATCCCTTGATTTTCTTCTTTCACCTGCTGAAAATACTTAAACAAATATACACTTATTTCTATATATGACATGTGAATAACCAATCAAATCTCAGAATGTTCCTTAGTGGTTTCTCAGCCATTTTGGCATGTTAATGTGTAAATCTCATTCTTTTCACACAATAAGTTTATGAACTTATTTGTAAATAGTATTAATGTATATACATATATAATGTATAATAATTGATATGTGACTGTATTTTACAAAATACTAGTCTACTAATACACAGCTAAGATTGGATATGGTATCATGAGTGCACGTGTGCTGCATCATTGTAACTTCTGTATTGTTAGCCAGGCATGGCTGGAAGGTCAGTATAATAAAAATAATAAATATATATAAATGTAAAATGTTATTAGATTTAAGCTATTTAGACTAAACATTTGTGTTTTTGTGTTATAATCTGTCGTCATTCTAGAACGAAAAAAGCATAATTTAAATTAAATTTTTTATGGTTACGAGGCCAGTCAAATTGAGAGACCCCATAGAATTAGGTTAGCAAAAATAACAGAAAAAATATAAAGTATTACTGAAAACAAGCATTTGAAATGTATTTAGCAGGTTTTAGAGATTACACAAATAATATTTAAGATTTTTGAGATGAACAATAGTTTTTAGTTATAATATGAA